GAGGAGGAGGAGGAGGAGGAGGAGGATGCGGAGGAGCAGGAGGAGGAGGAGGAGGAAGAGGGATGCGGAAGGATGAAGCATGTTCGAGGATGGGGCAGGCGTCGAGAGAATGTGGGACGGAGGAGGAGGAAGAAGGGAGGAGGGAGGGATAGAGGGCGTGAGGGAGTGAGGGAGGGAGGGAGGATTAAGGTTGTTGTCGTGGTCAGCGACGGCAGTGTCGTCCCCCGCTTTCATTTCGACGGGCTTCACGGCTCTTCTGCAACCGATTTGCATGGATGTAGGGATCATGCCAGATGTATGTCGGAAGGTTTGTGGGATTTGTTGCAAGCCTAATATGTCCGAGGTTCATTCCATATTTTCAAGGTCAAACTGGCTACTTCGGGAGAAAAACCGCACGAGTCGACGGGCATCATAAGTCGGTAGACCTTTTGACGTGTGAAGAATAGGTGCTGCCTATCCTCGGTAAGAAAAAGCGTTCAGCTCACAGAGCTCTGGGCCCACAGCTGACTCCCCGATCCAAACACTCCCCGAGTGGGATTCGACCCCGTGCCATGGAATGGGCGGTTGCCGCGAGGGGGGCGGCCTTCCGAGCGGGCTGCTCAGAAGCCGGGGGAGCTTTCGAGCACAGACAGCACTTGATGGGCCTGCTTTCCATCACCGCCACCATATGTTGGAGGGGGAGGGGGTCCTCCTCCTCCTCCTCCTGCCCCCCTCCAACTTATGGTGGTGGTGGTGGAAGACAGGCCCATCAACACTGACAGTAAGGATGATTGACTTCGCAGGGGTGCCCCTGCGTCCTTGCCTCTTCGGTCGTCTTCGGTCCGTCCTCCACCACTCTCGGGGGGCCGCCCCGCTCGAAGCGCTTCGGCACAGGCGTCCATGGCCCCTGCATCCTGACAGAGCATCCTGGCTACCGGTTTTGACTGTAGGCCCCCACCCTCCTGAAGGCCCAATCGCCTGCTTAAGGGGGCCGCCCACCTCGCGCCACCCCCTTGTGCGCTGCCGCCGAAGGACAGAGCATTTTCGGCGAAAGAAGAGTGGTTGAGCCCTGAACGGTGGGGAGAACGGCAATGGGGAGAAGTCGGCGGGAGGGTTAAGAACGGAGCACCTCTCCAGCACCTCTACGGCGGCAGCTCGATCATGCCCCCCGTTGCAAACAGGATCATCAGGACGAGCAGCATTCCAAGAGCACCCTTTCACCTTGCGTCTTCAGCGCCCTTTCTTGGCCACTGCTCCATGTCATTCTCATCCAAAAGAGGTTTCAACTTGGCGTCCAGGATCTTTTCGAGACGCTGAGCAAACAACCACTGTAGGTTTAGGTTTAGGAGGTGCCCGGGTTGTCTTGGCCGTTCTTCAGACCCATGCCGTGCAACCTTTTCGTGGCAAAAGCTCGCTGTGGACAGAGGAGCTCCTTCGTTTCTTACTCGGCCATCCTGACAGTAGCGCGATGCTTGTACCGCGCATGCTAATCCAGGCATCCTCTGATACAGTCTTTCAATCTGCGGCCCCAGAGGTCCCGACCCCTTCCCCAGGGGTAGCTGTAGGTCCGAGGCTAACGGGCCCCCGGAGGCCGAACTGAAGGAAACACAACGGTATTGAACACATCATATCTTCGGAGATCTGGTGTGGCGCTGTTGCGCCGAGACGAGCGCCAGCGCCCGCCGGCTGGCGTCCGCTCGTCGCCAGAGCCGCACCTTGGGGGCAGCTCCGCAGCCGCGCTCGCCGCGGGTCCCCGCTGCGCTGCCGCGTCCGCTGCGCTGCTCAGCGGGCCAGCAGCAGCCCCCGCGAATCCGAGGTCCTCCTCGTTATCGCCTTCGTCCTCCTCGTCGTCTTCGCCCTCGCCCTTCCTCTACCTCCCTCCCTGGTCCTCCTCCCTCCTCCTCCCTCCTCCTCCCTCTTCCTCCTCCTCCTCCTCCGGCTCCTCCTCCTCATCCTCCTTCTCTCTCTCTTTTTCTTTCTCCCCCCTATTCCCCCCCTTCTCCCTCCTCCTCATCCTCCCCCTCATCCTCCCCCTCCTCTTGCCTCCTCTCTACCCAGGCCACCACGTGATGCACCGGTGTCAGTGCGCCTCGTCGTCCTCCTCCGACGTCCCCCTCTTCTCATCATTATCCTCCTCCTCCTTCTCCTCCTCCTCCTCCTCGTCCTCCTCCTCCTCCTCGCTTCCTCCTCCTTATCCTCCTACTCCTCCTCTCTTCCCCCTCCACCACCTCCTCCTCCTCCTCTCTTCCTTTCTCTCTCGAGGCCTGGGTCTCCTCTTACACAGAGTCGTGCTTACCTTGTCGTGGCCGTCGTCGACGTCCCCTTCTTCTTCCTCCTGTTCGCCTCCATGCCTCCTCCCCTCATCTTTGCCATCTTGAAATGGATGAGCGATGTACGATTTCTGGCGGAGGACAGGGGCGGTAGAGAGACATGCATCGTGAGGGCCTGGAGAGAATTCGGAGAGCGAGCGATGGAAAGCAGCGGGTTTGAGAGGAGCTTCGTTGTCGGAGAGAGACAGAGACAGAGACAGAGACAGCGATACAGAGAGAGAGAGAGAGAGAGGGAGAGAGATCAAATCCTCCACATCATGATCCCGAGCTGATATTCTTTTGTGGATATTGTGGTGGCTGATGGGAGGCGGGCTGGGAGGAAGCTGGCCGCGAGTGCCTCCTGCCTGCCTGTCACCCCCGGAGGCCCGCGACCAGCAGATCCCGAGAGTCGTCACTGGCCGGGCAAGCGGTGAGCGACCCGGGCGCACCGTGGCATCATTGCTCTGCGCCGCTTCGACGGGGGGGGGCACTGCAACCGATCTGGGCAACGGATTATCTCGATGGCGCGCCCTGGGGGGAAGGCAGAGGGGGCGGGCCTTCTCAGAAGGCTCGGAAGGCCTCCAGCCTTCGAGAAGTTGTCCAGGCCTTCTCTGAAGCCGCAGGGGGCTTCTCCGAAGGCCGGGGGGCCTGCCCCTTCACTTCCCCACTCGGCGCACCGCCGTCTATCAATTCAGGCAGTTCGCACCCGTGGCAAAGTGCACTATGACCGTCTCAGCCACAGCCCACAGCACGCAATGCGATGCAGTGAACCTTTGATAGTAAGGGTGATCGACTTTCCAGAGATCCCCTGGCGTCTTCGCCTCTTCGGTCATCTTCGGCCCGTCCTCGGCCACTTTCGATGGCCAGCCCCCCTCGAAAAGCCTTGGCACGGGCGTTCAAGGCCCTTGCATCCTCATCGCGCATCCTTGCCATCAGTTCTTGATGTGAGGGCGCGGCGGGCCTGACAGGCCGCGGCGGCAAGGCCTGCCCCCTGGGGTCGCCGAGGGGCAGCGAACGCGATCTGTGTTCCTTGGGCGACGGAGGAGGGGGATTTCTGCTCGTGGAGTAAAAGCCAGCCTAAGCCGAAACGAGGGTCAAGCGCAGCCACAGGAGGAGGTGGAGGAGGAGGAGGCGGAGGAGGGGGAGGCGGAGGGGACCGTGCTCGGCGGGCTTGGGCTCCCCGCCGTGGCCCGCTCTCGGCTTCGGGCCAGCTATCTCTCCCGACAGGGGTCCCATCGCGGGCCTTCGGCGCAGGGGCTCTCTCGTGCTGCCGCTCCCCGCTTGCCCGTGGCCGTGCTCCGGCCGTGCCAGCAGAGCACAGGAGTTCAGAAGGCGAAAAGTCACCCCCACCCCCAGTCTGATCCCCGAGCCGGCGATTCAAGGGATCGGGACTGGGGGTGGGGGTGGGTTTTCTCCATTCTTGGGCCCCGGAAAGCCACCCCCACCCCCAGTCCCGACCCGCAGGGGTCGCGGGTTCCGGGATGGGGTCTGGACTGGGGGTGGGGGTCGGTTTTCGCCTCCCCAGGAGTCGGGCCGGACGAGAGGCGGGGACAGGGAAAGAGGAGTCTACTAAATTTGCTGCATGCAGTCGGTCTCCGCCTTGCCGCCGGGCCCGTGCCTCGAGACATGGGCCCCCCCCGGCGCCAGGAGGCGCAAGGAAGATCAGCTGCGTGAGCTGATTCTCTACGCTACCCTTTGCTATGCTACCCTTTCGCCCCCCCCCCCCACCCCGGGTGAGCGGGCCTGCCGGTTCATGAGAGTCCTGGCATTCCACGCTGAGTGAATGACCAATTCTTGCCCAAGTCCCGCCAGGCAGGCCCCCGCCTCACCCGTTTGCCCGCGCGCTGTGTGTCGACGGGCTCCGAGGCTCCCTGGCAGGACCGGGGAGCAGGTGCAGCGCGGGGGTAACGAGCAAGCGGCAAGCGGCAGACAGCTGGCGCAGCCATGAGTCGACCATCGACGTTCGATCCGTACCCCCGCCGCTGCCCCCCGCTCTGGGCGCGCGGGGAAGCAGGGCATGGATAGAACACGTGGCTACGGGGGCCGGAGTGTTAACCATACCGCTGCTGTGGCCCCTCGTGGGGTCGGGGCGTGAGCAAGGGCATGGAGGACATGTCGATCGCCTTGTGAACACACCTCGTAGCACGAAGCACCGCCGCAAATGAGATACTCTCAGAACAGACAGGAGCAACAAACACACCGGACACATGAGACACGGTACATGCCCGACTGAACACTCGGCGGACGGACGCGCATAGCAGATGTGCATAACACTACCCACGGACATGCGGCATGCGGCACATGCGGGCATTGCAGACACTACGAGCACAACAGGTACACATATCATGCACACGTGACAGACGCGAATTTGAGCCGTCGGCATATGGGGTTCATATGCTCGAACCTCGTTCTCATCAACAGAGGAATCCCAGTTGGTAGATGCCTCCAATACGGTCCAATGCGGTCTTCTCGTACACCGACGTTCGTATGATCCCTGGCATGCGTGTCTCCTGCGAAGTTTTGATACACATCGTGAACTCGAGGAATTAACAGTTTTATGTTTACCTTTGGGCCACTTCCGTTCGCTCCGATTGCTTCCCGTTCTCTTGTGCGGCAGTCTGTTCTTCGCGCCAGGGAGTGTCGAAGGATCGACCCACGAGAAATATCGGTCCTGTGGACTGGGAGGCACACGACGTGGAACGACCACGACGTCGGAGGTCGTGAGGACATGCCACTCCGTCCTTGCCTCTACCAGAGATGCCGGCTCCCGGCAGTCCTGTGCTGCACGGCCGGAGAGAGGGGGGGGAGGCATCGATATTCGAAGAAACAACTAATGCAAGAAACATACACTTCTGGCGCTCCACGCGGATCTCCTGGATTTGCGCCGGGACCCCCTGGCGGCGCCTCCGGCAACGCCCCTGGCGCGTTTCGCGCGCCAGGGTGTGTGTGGGCAGCGCGGCTCCAGGGATTTTCGCGCGGACGCAACACGTGTATGCTTGTGCCGTTTCTCTTCTTCTGGGAGAGAGGGGGGAGAGGCATCGATACGCAAGCAGATGGCGTCGAACGCGATCGGTTGGGAGGGGGTGACCTGGGGCTGGTGCGCAGCAGGGACTGGCCGGCTCGCGTTTGTTTTGGCACGCCCTCGGCGCTCTAAAAAGAAGGGCCCGCCGCGCTGCCCATGCCCTTCTCGTGCCGTCGGCGGCCGGTTGCCGCCATTCGCTCCTGCCGCCTAGTGACGCTCCTCCCCGGCCACGCTGCTCCAGGCGTGAGCAGTCAGAGGTAACCCTGGCCCAAAGCGCCCTCCCTGGCTTTTCGGGCCATGGGCCCTCGTAGGCCGCGTGAGGGGTGCTCTGGAGGCCACCTGGGCCCAAGTAGGAAAGTTGGGACCACCTGGGGCTGGGCCTCCTCTGGCTTTGCGGCAACGCCCGACCCAGAGAACGAACTGTCAATGCCAGCCGTCGCCGCCCTACCCCATACACAGTGCTCTTGCATGGCCGCACTCCGCTAGCGCCGGAGTCTGTCGCCAGCCGCACTAGCCTGTGATTATTGGTGCCGCCAGAGCTGGTCGCCACACCAGCTCCCACATTCCTTCCTGCCCCTGTGTGGTCTTGTTAGCTCTAGAAGCCGCCAGCGCGGGCTGCCGCCACTGGCATGGCACGCGCTGGTCCCAGCCTATCCCTGCCAAGTGCTGCTTGAGGTCCATCGTCGATTCTGGACATACTTCTGTCAGAGCCTCGCGTGCGCGTGGGTCCTCGATAGTTTTCGGCAGATCTTTGAAGGTTGTCGGTCCCGAAGGGCGCATGATCAGCCCCGGGGTATTTCCGAGCAGCCGTGCCTCGTCGGACTTTTCCCAGGGGCGCCAGGGTCGTCCTGAACGGTTCTCCCTGCCCCGGCTCGGGGCCGATGCAACCCGTGGGCCTTCCCAGAGGTGAGCTTGGCATCGCTCGGACGCGTGCTTTTTTTCTCGGCGAGGACCACCGAGGAGCCTCTTAGGCCATCTTGCGACAAGATCAGCGCACGAAGCCGAAACATTCACGGGGAATGGACGTCCGAGCGATGGCGAGTGAGTGGCGATAGGGTCCACGAGCCCGCCTTTCTCCCGGGCGCGGCCTCCTGTGCCCCCGTTGTGCGCAGGCGTTTGCATCAATTGTGGCGCGCGCGCGCCGCGCGGCGAGCCATGGCCAAGTCAGCCTGCGATGCGTACTTGTTGGTGCCCAGCGCTGAGGCACGAGGGCACGGGATGGGCAGAGACCGGGGCTCGCGAAGCAGGGGCCACGACGGTTGCGACGACGGCGACGACGACGGTGGCGAGTCCGCGTCATGGTGCTCTACCCATGCCGATGCTTGCGCTGAGGTTGATGGGGTAGACTTGGTAAGAAGCGCAAGGAGAGGGACACAATGGCGGGGACGACTAGTTGCGCTAAGGTGCAGGTGGTAGGCGACGATGACGTTCAAGGGTAGCAGAAGACTGAACGGGGCAGTAGGTTGCTAATGATCGAGTCGAGATGATGCAGATAGTGAGCAAGAGGAGAAGTTGAGAGTGGAGGATAACAGTGGTTCCGTGAGGTACTTAACGATCGGAGGGATGAGAGCGAATGAGCCTTCATAACTAATATGACGTGAAGGACGCAGGATATGGGAGGTGTTAAAGGAGAGCTCATATAGAAGGTCAGAGCCTGACGACAATGATGATGACGGAGGGATCTGGAGCCATCGCTGTTTGTCCGCTTTTTCCTCATTCCACCTGACAGCTTGCTCTCCCCTCCTCCCTCCTCCATCTCCCTCCTCGTCATCCGCCTCCTCTTTTGTGCGCTCTGCTGGAGCCGCTCGTCTTGCTTGCTTTCACCAGTCGGGGTCATGGCCCAGTCTCTGGTACGTCCGACACATGGGCGGCCGAGATCTTGTGAGGCTTCCCTGGTGTCTCCATAGACCTCCATGGGTCCCCAACTGACCCAAGCTTTAGAGATTACTGACGCTTCTTGTTTCCTCACTAGCTCACCCAGGATAGCGAAGAAACGTGCATTGGAACAAGTTTTGGATCAGCCTGATCAGACCCATAACAGGGATGAGAACGACGAGGACGAGGGTGAGGACGAGGACGACAATGAGGACGAGGAGGAGGGCGAGGAGGACGAGTGGAGGAGGGCGAGGAAGAAGAGGACAAACACGAGGAGGAGGAGGAGGAAGTGGACAACTATGGGAGCCACCTTGGGGTCGTTTGAAGGCCCTCGTAAGGTCATCTTCTAACGGCCCTCTCGGAGCACTCTTGGGGCTATTTCGGAGGTCTTGGGGTCCTCTTGGGGCTTTCTTGGGGGGGTCTTTGCTTCTTCTTGAAGCCCTCCTGGGGGCCCCTTGGGAGCCTTGGAGGGCTTCTTGGGGCCATCTTGGCGGGAATCGATCAAAAGAGTGGGGCTCGTAAATTTCGGCCCCTCCTCAGGAGCGCTCACAAGCGCCTCTTGGGTGCTCCTGGGGCCGTCTTGGGCCTCGTGCGCCCCGCGTAGTGCTCTCTTGACACAATCTTGGGGTTTGTGGGGTCCGTCGAGGGCTCCGAGCGCATTCGAAACCATCGTGTGACTCTCTCGGGGCCTCCTGGAGGGACCCATCCTTGACTATCTTGAACCAGCTTGGAGGCCGTCTTAGAGCATCAGAGACCCTCTTAAAGCCACAGTGAACCATCTTGGGCGCTCTAACCCCTCCGTCTGGGACTCAGAGCCCTAGACCGCTCGGTCCAGCAGCCGTTTCGCTTAAGACGTCTTTTCCATGTGTTTAGGAGTCGGAATCTCGCCTCAGTGCCGGCTACTTGTTTGGTCTGGACGGCCACCATCATGTTTAGATCTTTCATCGAGGTGCACATGGCCGTGCTCTCGCCTTACTGCTGGCAAGTTTCTTGGTTCGAACGGCGACGATCCCTTGCACTACATACGCGAAGGTGTACATGACCGTGCTCTCACCCCTGTCCTTGCTGCTCTCACCCCTGCCCCACCTCTTCACCTTTGCTGCCAGTAGAGTGCCTTGCTGGGCTGATACATAGGAATAGATGTATACACACATGTGCACAGACTGTGTGTACACATACATCTTCATGTGCATGTGTATATACACACGTGTACGTATGTACATATACACACCTACGTATGTGTATACGTGCATCTATGTAGACGTATATGTCTGTGTGTAGGTATGCATGTCTTTCTTTATATATATATATATACATTGTATGCATGCAGACATACACATATATATGTGTGTATGCATGGTTATATGTATGTGTGCATGCATGTTCTTATATCCATGTACAATATCAGGTATACACATGCGAAGGTATATGTATATGCGTAGGCATACGCATACGTATAGGTATACGTATATGCACAGTTATTTATATATAGGTAGAGGCATATGCATGTGCATATGTAGAGGCGTACACGTGTATATGCAGATGTCGATGTATGTGTATGTGTTGGTGGATATATATGTGTGTATGTATATGTATATACAATGCTGATATGTGTATGCATGTATGTATGTATGTATATATATATGGGTGTATGCGTGTACGGGTTTATGTATATGTACACGTATCTGCACATATATGTGTATGCGTAATCATGTGCACGCACATGTGTATGTGCACATGTATATGTATAGGTATATGAATGTGTACATGCCTAGGAAGGCATCTGTATGTGTAGAGTTGTATGCATATGCATATGTATGTGTATATGTACGTGTATGTGTATGTGTAATGGTATGTGCATGTGTGTATATGTTTACATGTGTAGTTGCATATGCATCTGTATACATATATATATATACATAATCGAGGCATGTCGGGAGAGGGGCTGGACCGCAGCCCGAGGTTGGCATGGGGTCTCCGGAGGCCGCAGGAGCGCCCCTGTGGCCCCTAATGTGGCCCCGTGGGCGTCCCAATGACTCCGAAATTGTTATACATGTTTACTGGACCTTCGCACCACAAACCCGAGACCGCCGCAGATGCTTTTTGGACGGCCTCCGAAGGCTTTCGGGCTGCGCCAGGGCGACCCTGGGCAGGCTTCAGTGGGCGCCCGAGGCCCCAGACGAGTGCCCCGAGAGGCGCAAATCTTTCATGTCTCGTTGTATTTTCAATGTTTTTGGGGTCCTCTAATTTTCGAGTTTCTGACAATCCACGACGGCCCAAGGGGCGTTCAACACCGCGTCAGGACGGGCGAAGAGGCCCCCAGGAGGGCCCCAGGTCGGCCTAACAGGGCTCCATGACGGCCACAGGAGCGCCCAAGACGGCCTAAGAGGCCCTCAAGACGGTCCCAAGCTGGCCTCCAGATGTGGAACATGAGCCGACATTTCGAGTCTTTCGCTCCAAAAGGCTCCCCGGCGGCTTCAAGACGGCGCCAGGACGGCCCCAGACAGGCTCCAGTGGGCGCCCGTCGCCCCAGACGAGTGCTTCGAGAGGCCAACAGATTTGATTGCTCTTGGGTTTTTCAGAAATCTGTGAGGCCCTCTATTTTTCGAGATACCGGCAATCCACGACGGCCTAAGAGGCCTCCAACACCGCCTTAGGACGGGCCCAGAGGCCCCCAGGCGGGCCTTGGGACGACCGAACAAGGTTCCATGACGGCCCCAGGGGTGCCCAAGACAGCCCAAGAAGCCATAAAAACGGCTCCAAGATGGGCTCAAGAGGGGGATCATGAGCCGAATGAGTTCTTCGCCTTAGTAGGCTCCCAGGAGGCGTCAAGAAGGCGCCAGGACGGCCCCGGGCAGGCTTCAGTGGGCGCACGAGGCCCCAGACGAGTGCTTCCAGAGGCAAACATACTAGATTGCCTTAGGCCTTAAAGTTTTTCTATGTTTTGGGTCTCCTCTATTTCGAGTTTCCGACAGTCCTCGACGGCCCAAGAGGCCTCCAACACCGCCTCAGGACGGGCCCAGAGGCTCCCATGACGGCCCAGGGACGGCCAAACAGGGCTTCATGACGGCCCCGGGGGCGCCCACGGCGGCCTCATAGGCCCTCAAGACGGCCCCAAGATGGGCTCGAGAGGGGGAGCATGAACCAAGATTTCGAGTCTTTCGCTCCAAGAGGCTCCCAGGAGGCCCCTTTCCCCCATAGTCTGCCACGAGGCTCCAAGAGGACCCCAAGAGGCCCCCATGACGCCCCAGAAGGCTCCAAAACGGCCACCAAGAAGCCAAACAACGGCCTCCAAGAGACCCTCCCGAGGCCTCCTTCCACATCCCTCCTAACACTCTCATGGCTTTTTGGCCCACTACCCAGGCACGGTGGCGAGATGGGTCGAAGGCCATTCCAGTTTCGGTTTCACATTCTCACATTCTCATTCGCACACCTCCTACGCTCCTTCTCACATTCCTCGCCGTGGCCTTCCCAGCTCCTGTTTTTTTGTTCTGCTACCGTGCACCTCGGTTATCTCACTTCCAAGCTTCACCACAGTCTCAAGATGCTCGAATGGTTCCATCTGGCTGTCCTTCGGGCTTTGCAGCCTGATGTGTGGTACCCTGGGAGCCTCCACGAGGACTCCAACACGGCCTTCTAGGAACATAATTGTCGCCGCCGGTCCGACGAGGAGACCGAGGAGGAGGAGGAGGAGGTGCCATCCCACCGGACTTTCCAATTCAGGGTAGCGTTGCCCGGGGACCCGTTCACAGCGGAACGGGGGTCTGGCCCGCGGCCTTGCTCCCGGTGGACTCGGTGTCGACGGTGCTGCTTGCAAGTGACGCTCTCCTCTGCGAGGCCCCCAAGAGGCCCACAGAGGTCCCCACATGTCCTACGTAGGAAGGAAGGGAGGAGGAGGAGGAGGAGGAGGAGAAGGAGGAGGAGGGGGAGGACGAGGAGGAGGAGGAGGACGAGGAGGACAGGAGGAGGAGGAGGAGGAGGAGGAGGAGGAGGAGGAGGAGGACGAGGAGGATGAGGAGTAAGATGAGGAGGAGGAGGAGGAGCAGGGAAAAAACGAGGACGACGAGGACGAGGAGGAGGAGGAGGCGCAGGAGTAGGAGGAGGAGGACCAGTGTAAACCCAAGGGTCATCAATGATGTTGGAATTAACCATCCCTCCAAGCTCCCTCTTCATAGGGCCCTACAGCAGTTCATTGCCATTGAGGGAACTGCCTCGTTGGAAGACAACCGCTGGAAGATCCTGATGCGTGCCACAACATTGTTCTCGGGATTTTAACGCACGTATCAACCTGACTGCTGCGTCTCTTGCCAGAACGCCGTTTTGCGGACTTCAAAACCGCGAACCAACATAACTTTTGAG